AAAATTTAAATTTAAAATTCCCATGTTATTCTTATGGAGAATATTGTAAAATGTTGTAGTTTGCTTGTTTATGGATATCTTTTGATCAAACTTGGCAAATATATTCATTTTATACTAAGCAATAATTATTTTACTTAAAACACCCTATTTATTAGTTTCCTTGTAGCAGCAAACCTAGGTACTCGTTAAACCTAATGTTATTTAAATAGACCAATTGAAAATCAATTCAGCCAAATGGAAATTCGCTTAGACGGCAGGTTTGCTGCGGCGGGGGTATTTATGTTAAATATTAAGGGAGATATATGGAGCTTGAAAGTAAAATTTGTCATATTTTGGTACCAATTTACATTGGGAATGGGTAATGCAATCATCACCAAAATTGGCATTTATATGTGAAAAACTAAGATAATGATCACTAGCTATTTAAAATAAAAATTTTTTAACTTTTTAAATTTTGTGGTTTTTTATAAAATTTAATAGGCACTAATTAAAATTTTTTTATAATTTTAAAAATAACTGTTTGTCTTTGGGTAAAATTCATCTATCTTTATGTTGAAATTTTAAAAAAATGCGATATATTAACTCGTTTGGGCTGTGAATTCGTACCTTTGACGCTGGAAGCACACTACTTGTTGAGAGTGAGTTCACCTACGCCGGGGCTAATTTTGATTAAACACCTTTAAGTTAATTCCCACTTGCAAACTGAAAACCTAATTCAATTCCAATTTCTGTTTTAGGCAATGCACTGAATACTTGCTGTTTTACTGCCTTCTCTGCGATAATCAATTAGTCTGAACCTTGTTAAATCAAATCAGATTTGTAATATAAATTAATCATTCATCATCATATAAAATGTTATATTACTATTAGATGTATTGAAACAATAGTGTGTTCATCATAAAAGTTACACTAAATAGTAAAAAATTATCTTATTTTGAATAACAAGTATTGATAATTATGTTCAAAAATAGAGTACAGTAGATAACAGATAGGCCTATGGAAACTGGTAAATGACTAAATGAGTAATTTTACAAGGTTAATTGAAGGGAGAGGTGTGTAATTGTATAACAGTTCAGAAAATTGGTAGTTAAAACTGTGCATTGATGAAAGTAATTTAACATTAAAACAATTAATTTAACTAAAACTGATATTAGAACCTTTTTTAAGAGTAAAATTTATATTACTACTAATTATAAAAGAGTAAAAAACTCTTTACAAGAGCACATCAATTTGGTTTATATATAATTAGAAAGTATCCTAAAAGCATCTCCCAGTTTGGTTTAGAGACTACATCATAACTGAAAGACAAATAACACATTTGTATTTGAATCTGCAGAGAGAGACCAGACACCAGCACTGTCATATTCACTTCCCTCCACCAACTGATAATGACAGAAGGAAAGATTGATGAACCTGACAAGTATAATTTGCCTCCTACAATTACATTTCTGTGGTATAAAGGGTCAGATGACAAATGAGTGTAGAGGTTGTGGGAGTTTGAAGTCGGTCCTAAACATTTGACAGTGGGGATGGCCTAGATCATCCACAGTGTTGGGGAAGCTACTTTTAAAATGTACAACTACTGCTACATTTCCAAAAAAGTAGCTTAGCTACAGCTACAGCTACAGTTCCGAGAAAGTAGCTACAACTACAGCTACAATGAAATGTAGTTATAGCTACAATTTTAGCTACTTTTCCAAAGACGTTACTTTTATTCCACGCACATTAGGTAAATGTAAAATTAATTGCAACTATATAAACTTAACATTACAACAACAGAACCAAAATAAGTTAGTTGGGTGTTCCATCATATTTAGTAGGCTACTTATTTTTAAATATTGCATTATTTTTAAGCATCTTATATGAAAATTTCATTAAGTTCAAAGGACATACAACCAAACTATATTTTAAAAACCCATTTTATTTCTTTAATATACATTCATTTATAGATGTCTTTTATCAACTATTAAAAACAATAAAACTGTAAAACGATTGTTTAAAAATACTTGTTTGTGTTACAGAGCCTAGCCTACTGAAATTGGAGTTTATTGCCTTTTGCCTTTCTTTATTTTTAATGTTAAAAACGACATTGCTATAACTTTTAACCATAGTGTTACTTGTTCTATGAATAACACTTTTCAATGTCAAGAAATCATCCTTTGTCATTATGCATAGGTCAAATTGTGCTTCAACAAACGTTGGTGCAGAAAACAGTATTCAGCAACTTATCCTGAAATCGGCTTTTAATTTAAACATGTTGAAAATTGCTAAGTAAAAATAACATTTAGGCGTACTTGGCTTTGTAACAAGTTGGCTATAGTAGGCTTGTTCTTAAAAGGACTAAACAGATATATTCCTATTAATTGAACTTGGTATTCATATTAATCCAATAGCATAGCCTAGGAATAGTCCTTGACAAGAGCTGTTAGCAGGAGCAAACTACTGTATGCTACTTTTTCAATGCAAGTTTCATGTTATGGAGATTTTTTGTTAAAATTATTATGTATTCTAGGCATATCTTAAATCTTATCAGGAAATTTCCTCTTCGTTCATTTAGTAAACCTCTGAAAAATCTTTGTAATCTAACCAAGGAAGGGCTTGTGATGATGAACCACAATCAACAGCTGAAGCAGCAGTTCAACAGCAGCAGCAGCAGAAATCAACAGTTGATAGACCAGCTTTCTCATTATTTTAAGGTTTAGTGTTGGTTTCCATTAAAACCCAAGTTTAAACTAAATTGATACAATAAAGAAACTAAATTGATTACTAATTTCCCTGTCAATCACTTGCTGGCATTCAATAGCTTCTCTTGTCACTAGTAACGTTTAAACGTCGTCTGCATCTAGCGATTTTATTTTATCTGATAGTAATCATAGAGTAGCAAATGAAGGAAATGAGAGCCAAAAATGTGGATAACACTCAGATAATGACCTCCATGTCCACGCAAGGTTGTAATAGGTAATGAAACGACTGTGACCAGCTGTATGAAGCCAAGAAAGTAGGCCTAATTTTCTTGAAAATCTCAGTTTGAAAAAGGTTGTTTCAGGTAAGGTTGTGATAAAAATCACTATCTCAATTAATGTAAATGTAGCGAGAAAAGTAGCTAAAATTCCGCTACAACTACTTTACAAATGTAGCTAGCTACAGCTACAAAATCTTAAAAGTAGCGTAGCTACGGCAGCAACAAAAAAAGTAGCGCGCTACTTCCCAACACTGATCATTCAGTCCACCTTAGTTTTGTTTGAGGCAGTGACAAACATTCCAGATCTGGCGACTGATGGAGGACATCTCTAACTTCAACAAAGAAGGAGCTGCCTAGTAGTCTTGGACACACGGATCTACTATGCAATTTCCTTCACATTTGTCACAGTATCGATGGAAACTGATGGACCTGCCTCGTCTCGCAATTGTGTACGACCTTCGGCAAACCCCATAAACTAAAGCAATTTTTTTCACATCTGTACACTATTCAACAGAGGTCAAATGAAAATGGAGTTCAATAGGGGTTAATTTCCATGGAAATAAGATCACAGAAGAACTCTTAATTCATACCTGAGCAATTTTGTTTTGTTTAGTTCTGTTCTTTTTTTTATTGTGTTCAAGTTCAAATAAGTTCTATTCATGGTTAGAAAAGGGTGCATCAGAATTCCTGTCAATCCTTATTGGTTACCATGACAAGACTAAGGCCTAGTACATACCAAAAGCAACCGGTAATAGCAACGAAACGACAATGCAACGGCAACTTGAGTTGCATATGAATAACACACAGTTTAATGGGCCTGTGTAAACCAAAGAGACTGTGATTCAACAGTCGCTTGACTGAGCAATGCAGGCAACTCCAGTCACGAAATGTTGTAAACTGGTTGATGCCAGTTGCCCAGTTGCTCAACTGCCTCCTCCTATTGACGAAGACATCAATACAAGTGACTGGACAATTTGTTAATTTTAGTTTCTTTTTTATGTACACGTGGTGTAAAAAGTAAACCTAAAAGAAGCTCCAGTTGACTGAGTTGAGTTGATGTTGTGTTGATATCAGCAGTTGCTTTTGGTATGTACGAGGCCTAAGCGTTGTATAGGGTGACAGAAGATGTGAAGATGGTGTCATGTGTGAACTAAGAGGCTTGGCCGTGACAGGAGCTCGTAGTAAGAATATGTATCTTTAAACTGTAATATTTATTGCATGATATTGCATTAAATATGAATTTAACTCATGATTTTTATCAAAAAGAATACTTTTTTATTTCATCAATGCACATTAAAAGATAAACATCAACATAAGAGTAATTAACATAAAAAAATTACTCCCAGTTTTCACAAAACAGTTTTATACAAAACAGATGTATTCAAGAAGGGAATTAAATTGAAATAAGGAACTAAATGAACTATATTTACATAAACTTAGAAATTGTATAAGGAAGGTACATTATGAGTAGACAATGAAGTTATTATAAGATCAACACCATAGTCTTAAGTTATAATTTTCAAATCAATGCAAAACTGGATGGTTTTTTTCACTCTCTTAAATTTACCAGACAAAATTACAAACTTTTATTTTAAACAAAAAATAGAATTTAACGAATCGGATAAGTGTTAAAAATAGATCTTGCATTGTTCAATTAATAAACAAATAGGGTTACAGGAAACTTACCAGCATTTCAAACAGCCACTATCTGTAATCAAAATGTTAAAATTTCTACTGGAAGAAACTACGAGTGGCATGCAGGGTCTAATTTTATTTCTTTTAAAAGAAGCCATAAAAATCGAATGTGTGATCTTTGCCATAAAATGTGCAAAACAGTTTATGATTCCAAAACTGAAATTAAAGTCTCAATTGAGTAAAATAAATGTCCTCGTAACTGTTTACGAGCCTGACAATTTTTACTTTAGCAGTTTACTTAAACTTATCACAAGATGATGTTTGACAGAGGTTTGCACTGATTTGAACTGTCAGATGTTTTACCGAGTACTGAGTGATTTCCTAGCACTGGCCTAGCACATACCTGAGTGCTGACAGGATTTGTGAACACCACCGTTTCCACGCTTGGAGTGGCAGCTTTTTGACATTTCGCTTGGTGCGCTTGAGGAACTGTTTTAATGAACCAGAGGACATATACTCCGTGATAAATATTACCTGTGAACAATATCAGGTTTGAATCAGTTCTTATAACAATAAGAGAAAATTACAAGTTTGTAAAATTCACCTTAATAAAACTGGCTGATATTAGAAGAGAAAAGATATTTGACATTAAGACAAATTTAGACACATTTTAGCGAATTTCCTTATAGGAAAAAGTTATTACTGTTGACGTGGCAAGGCCTAGATTAGGGACTTATTTACTCTTTTTTTATGTTCCCAGAAGCCAAAAACATAATACTTAAAAAATTGTTATTACATATTATTTAATACACATATCATTATATAAATACAGTACGGTATCCATAAACAAAAGGAACATTTAAAGAAAAGCGGTACCAACTACTGCAAGTCAAATAGCCTAGCTATTTCTATCACCACATCTCAAAAACATTTGCTTAATATACAAAATAGGTTTTAAATAAATTTTCAAACCTTTTAAAAAGTTTTTCAGAAAATATTTTTTCATCTGCAAAATAAAAAAGTTGCCTTTTTTGGTCAAAGCAAACTGCCAGATAAAAGTCTAAAATCTTTTTGAATATGGTCTATTTAGCTTTTTACTTTAAATGTTTTCTGAAGACTTTTAACAATTTTTTTACATGAAAACAATTAGGTACTGTATTCAACATGATACAATGATTTATACTAAAATTGTGATACCTATCTAAAAATTACATCAGTCCAAAACTACATAGTAAAGATCAATTTTGTAAATTGTTGGCATCTGTTTGATTTACCATTACTTACATTACTTTCATAAATATTTTAGCCATTTTAAAACCATAACCTTAATTTTTACCCTTGAATAAAATGAAATCAGAATGCAGAGAAACTTCATGACAAGACTTAGTTTCAATCAACTATAAATATCAAGAACTATCTAAAATTGGCAGAGTTACTTTGTACATAATCACAGACTGTGATTTGATTTGACTCTGTAAATAATAACAGTTAGAGGTTGATAATCTGAGACCGGAAAATGACTCAGAAACTGTGACCTCGGATCTGCTGCAAAATTGATTGAAACAATACAATCATTCTAAAACGCATTATGAATTGTAGAATTGAGTTTGGGACTGTTTCTATAAAAACACAAAAAGACAATGAATAAATATTATTGTTACCGGGCTTCACCCCATTTGACTTCATCTTATATGTTTAAAAAATTTTGGTTTCTTTTCTGAGTTTGTTTGGCTCTTCTACCAGACCGATTTTCGTGATTGAGGTCTTAAATTGAAGGTATGCACGCACAGATTTGCCATCAAGCATTGGCATATATTTATCTATAATCCCACTCGGCTCATATGTAAACGAAATATGCTCCCCATGTATTTCTTATGGGAGTTAAATTTGGTTTTTCTTTTATGAGTTCGTTTGGCTCTTCTACCCGACCGATTTTTATGATTATGATTTTATGAGGTCTCAAATTGAAGGTACAGTATGCACGCACAAATTTGCTATCAAGCCTTGGCATATATTTATCCATAATTCCACTCGGCTTATACGTATACAAAATTTGCTCCCCCATGTATTTCTTATGGGAGTTAAATTTGGTTTTTCTTTTCCGAGTTCGTATGGCTCTTCTATCCAACCGATTTTCATGATTGAAGCAGGAAACCCACTAGTCCGACGCTCTCCGACACGACACCTTCCGTCAGGTCGCCGACACATTCCGACGCCTTCTGCAATTTTAAGGCATTAACCCATTGGTCCGACGGGCTTCGACAGTAGGCCTCCGATGAGAAATACACCACCACTCCAACAGTGCCAGTTGTAATGGAATATGTGATCACATACTGTTCACAAGCAGTAGTTAGGGAGGCAAGAGCAAATAAAAAAAATCCTAGACCCACCTTGATAATTCCGGTTACAATTACTTTACTACAGGGAAATTAGCAAAATGTACAATACAAAACATAAACAATAATACCCCCGCCTCAGCAAACTTACCAACCAAGCAAATTTCTATTTGCCTGAATTGATTTTCAATTAAATGTATTATTTAACATTAGGTTTTATGAGTACCTTGGCTTGCTGCTAAAGGGAGGGTAAAAAGTGTGGTTTTTAGTAAATATTAATAACTTAGTAAAAAAAAATAAATTTACTAAGTTTGATCAAAATATATCCATCAGAAAGCAATCAACAATATTTTACAATATTCTCCATAAGAATAACATGGGAATTTAAAAAAACAATTTTTTGAATTTTCTCCGTAACCAATAATTGTTCAAAAAACATCACACACTTGTGATCACGTTCCATATCTGTTCCACATATTGTGATCACACACACAGCTAGACAGTGACTAAATCTAGGCCTGGTGCACGCAGAGTGGAGAAATGACGGATCCGACATCCGACAAGAATGCCCCAGAGAGCAATGTTGTCGTTACGTGGCAGATCGGAAGGTGTCGTGTCGGACTAGTGGGTTACAGTCCATTTAAAGTCATGCAAAGTAATTTTGTCGGAAGGTGTCGGAGACTTGACGGAAGGTGTTGTGTCGGAGAGTGTCGGACCAGTGGGTTTCCTGCTTGAGGTCTCAAATTGAAGGCATGCACGCAAAGATTTCACATCAAGCATCGGCATATATTTACCTACTGTATTACTCGGCCAAAAAAACATAATTTGATTAATTTTCGAATTGTTACTTTAATATAAGATGTATTTCACCAGTTATAATTATATAGCCAAGCCATCATCCCAAAATGATTATATATAATTTTGTCTAAGAACCTTCAGTTAAATACCTGCTTTCCTTTTATTTAAGCTATTAGTTATTCAAATCGGATGAGTTTCAAGCAAACGCAAGGTGAACAACCAACATAAAAATTATGTTTTATAAGGTTTTTGTATGATTAAAAATCAATAACTCCAGTATTCTTAATGTTTTTTATATGATTCAGACTCAAAAAAATCAGTAAATTATAGGCTTTAATTTGAGCTATTTATCGTTTGAATCAGTTAAGCTCAAGATACTGTATTGCTCAATAAAAATCATAAATTTGATTATTTCTCGGATATTTTATTTATTTTAACACTGCGGAGCAGCATGGGTCCTCTAGTTAGTATTAATAAAACTGGTTAAGTTAAGCTGAAATAGACAAAATGGAATGCAGTAAACAAATATTCACACCTGATTTTAATAGGGTAATAAATTGGAAGAATAACAAACAATTAATTACAGCTGAGGTTAACATTCGGTAAATGGAAAGGTCCCTTTGGAAATGAATTACAACCTGAAAGGGCAATTTATAAAATACAGTAATGGATAGTAATAAATACAAGCACTTGTAACTTGCATAACTGTTTATTCATAACTGGGAAGTAAATATTATTGTATGAACAATGTAAATAAATAATTAAAATATGGATTAATATAAGAAGTACAGAAGCAAAATATATAACAGTGGTCTCCCCCTAAATTTTCGTACGTAACATTTGATCGATGTGGCGTCTCCAAATTGGTCCATCGTCCATCTTGATAAAATAGTGAAGGTGGCCGTCTCAACTTTGAACATTTCCGTAGCTCCATTTACATTTCCCGGAATAGTTCCGTACTTGTACTCGTTCACCTGGTTTGAAGTATCTCACTATTCCTTTGGGTTGTTTTGTTTCTTCCTTTCTCTTAGGTAAAAGTAAACTTAAGTATGTGCGGATACTTCTGTTGAACATCAAGAAGTATGAGCTGTTGCCAGTTGAATTTGGAGCTTGAAGTACTTTCATCAGCAGTTCAGCAGTTAGTGAAGCTTTTCTTCCAGTGTACCAGGCTTTTCTGACATGCAGTTGATTAGTTTCTTTATCGTTTGTACGAAGCGTTCGACTTGGCCGTTCGAAGAAGGATGGTAAGGAGCTGTCATTTTGATTTCTTCAAAAAGTTACTAAATTCAGAAGAGGTGAACTGACGACCATTATCAGAGACTATAACACTTGGTAGTCCAAATGTGGTGAATATTTTACGCAGCTCTCTGATTGTCCATGAAGATGTAATACTCTTCGTAGGTATGACTTCAACCCACTTGCTGAATGCGTCTACTACCAACAAAAAGTAGTTTCCGTTGGTTGGCCCAGCAAAATCTATGTGGACCCTCTCCCATGGCTCACTTGCTGGTTCCCAGGGATGGTTAATTTCTTTCTTCGGTAAATTTTGTTTTTCCCTGCACTGTCTGCATTTTGAAATGTTATCTTCTATATCTTTGTCCAAACCTTTCCAGTAGCAAAAGCTTCGTCCTAAGGCTTTGGTTTTTACCATACCCAGATGACCAAAATGCAGTTCTTCGAAGACATGTTTTTGTAAAGATCTAGGAATCATCACCCTCCAACCTTTCATGATACAACCATCATGTAGACACAGCTCACCGTTATGATAACCATAGTGCTCCAGCGATTTTCCAGTTCCAAAGCTAGTAGCAAGTGTTGCATGTTTTCATCTTTCTTCGTTTCTTGAGCAATTAGGTTATGGTTTAGGTTGATCGTTGCAATTTGGTTCATATAGAAAACATCAGTCTGGTCCATGCTGGCATTTGAGTGTTTTTCAATTGGGAATCTTGAAAGGAAGTCTGCATTTCCATGATCATTTGTTCGTCTAAACTCTATTTTGTAGTCAAAACCTGATAAGAAGTGTGAATAGTTAAAAAGTCGTGTAGCTGACATAGAAGGTAGGTTTTTATCAGGATTGAATATTGTAACTAACGGCTTGTGATCCGTTACTAGGATGAATTTACGTCCATAGCAATATTGGAAGAACTTTTTTAGTCCCCAATAAATTCCAGTAGCCTCTTTGTCAATTTAGCTATATTTCTCTTCCGGTTTTGTCAGTGTTCTTGAAGCGAAGGCTATAGGTAGGTCTTTCACTTCCATCTGGAAATCTATGTGACAGTACTGCTCCAAGTCCCACCGGAGATGCGTCTGTTGCCAATACCAAAGGTAAGACTGGATCAAAATGAGTAAGGACAATTTTATTTGTAATGATCTCCTTGACCTTCTGAAAGCTTTGTTCACATTGATCTGTCCACTTGTATTTCTTCTCCTTTTTTAGTAGTCCATGTAACGGATTGAGAATCGTTGCCAGGTTCTCGATAAATCTGTTATAATAGTTGACAAGACCTAAGATGGCTCGCAGTTCACTAACATTCTGGGGTCTTCTTGCTTGTCTGATAGCCTTAACTTTATCTTCTGATTTGTGGATTCCATGGGCATCTATAGTGTGACCTAAGTACTCAATTTGTTTGTGTAGAAACTTGCATTTATCTCTGTTCAACCTTAGTCCATTCATTTTTATTCTTTGAAGTACCATTTCCAACCGAGTGAGCAACTCTTCTTCTGATTTTCCTTGGATGATTATGTCATCGAAGAAGCATTGAGTGCCTTCTATACCCGATAAGACATTGTCCATGATTCTTTGCCAAATTCCAGGAGCTACTTTAACGCCAAACATGAGTCGATTAACTCTGAACTGTCCCTTATGTGTACTTAAGGTTTGGATGTCAGCACTTGCTTCATCCATTTGTAGGTGTAAGTAAGCCTTCTTTAAGTCCAGAGTACAGAAAATCTTGCCACCGCTCATATTTGCGAAAATATCTTCAATTCTCGGTATTGGATAGTGTTCGTCTTGAATTTGTCTGTTCACCGTAACCTTATAATCGGCACATATTCTAATTTCACCATTGGGTTTCATTACTGGTACTATGGGTGTTCCCCATTCAGAATTGTCCGTCTTTGTTATTATTCCTGCAGTTTCTAAGCGCTCTAGTTCCTCTTCTACCTTTTGTTTCAAGGAATAAGGTATTGGCCTTGCTTTCATAAATATTGGTCGAGCTTCAGGTGCCAGTTGTAAGTGGCCTAGTTGATCAGGTATTTTTTCTATATCTGGCTCGAAAACATCCGTGTATTTGTTTAGAAGTTCATCTAAACGTCCTCCAGTTTCTTGTTTGATTGCTTTTACTTCTTTCCAGTCCAACTCTACGTCCCGTAGCCAGTCTCGACCGAAAATAGGATCCAAGTGACCGTCTACAATATAGAGTTTACCCGTAAAACTCTGGCTTTTGTATGAACATTGAACAAACACAACGCCTTTGGGCTTGAATAATTCTCCTGTATATGTTTTAAGTCGTAGCTGTGTATTAAAAAGTCTTCTATTCGTATTAAGTTTCTTGAACATATTATATGGTAACGTGCTGATGGCTGAACCTGTATTCAGCTCCATCTGGACTGGATTCCCCTCTAGCAAAATAACAATAAGTATTTTATCACTACTGCTATTGTTCAATTTGTAAATTTCATGTGTTTCTTCTTGACAACTATAGTTTCCATCTTCTTCAGTCTGATGAACTTTTGTTTCCTTTGCTTGCATACAGACACTGGCTATGTGACCCTGTTTTTTGCATTTGTGACACGTTTCAGAAGCAAACTTGCAGTTGTTGGCTCTATGGTCCCGTGAGCCGCAGCGGTAGCATCTTCCTCTCAATTTGTCAAAGGGTGAAGGCTGAGTTTTCTTAGGTATATAGTTCGATTTTTTGTTTCCAATCTTGTGAACAGTATTGTTTGTAAAATCTGTTGATGTTTTGACCAGAGAACTTTCATCTTTGGATAGTTCCATTGCTATTGCCAATTTAACAACGTCATGAAATGATTTAGTTGTTTTTTCTTGTAGTATCCTTGCTCTAACATCAGCATCAGTAATTCCTCTGATGAACTGCATGCGTAAAAGTGTGCTGGCTATGGTTTTCCCACAACTCTCACATGAAAAATCGCAATCTGTGGTTAATTTTTGGAGTTCAGCAGAATACATTTTCACAGATTCTGATGGGTCCTGTACTCTTGATAAAAATCTATGCTGTAGTGCCCATGTACTCGGCTGAGGGTCAACATAATCTGATAGTAACTTTACCAGATCTGAGAAGGTCTTATCCAGTGGGTTCTCAGGCGCACACAAATCATACAATTTCTGATGTAGGGTAGGAGACAGGGCATGAAGAAGGGTGTAAACCTTGTCCCTGGGCTGTAGTCCATGTTCATGTAAATGCATAAAAATCTCTAAGCGCCTGATGAAGTTTTTAAACGTTTCGTCGTCTTGAAAAGGGGTGAATGATATAGCTGAAGTAAGAGAACGGTACATATGATTACTTCTGTTGGTCATCGTACTACCTTGTTGCAGATCTTTTTCTAGTTCTATTTGTGTTTTTCTAATTTGTAACTGATCTTTTACTTTGTAATATCGTTCTTCCATGTCAACTCTGTATCTAACTTCTTCATCAACATCTTCTTCCTTTGACTTCAATTCTATCTTCAGTTGAACTGCCTCAAATCTTTTCCAGTTTTCTTCTAATAAATCCACTCTGTTTTGTAAAACTTCTGATGGTATGGTGGATACATCATCTAACAGTCTGTCTGCCTTTGTAATCTGGCCTTTTACAATAGCCCGTACTTTCTTCAAATCTGCTATTGAATCAATGTTTTGTAATATTTCCATTATGTAGTTTACTAGTGTGGGTATGAACAATAAAAATAGGTAATTAAATAATGAAATGTAATAAATTTAAGGTAATGAATTTAAGGTAATAAAAGTGTAGTTTCTTTTTTTATTCTCGTCGCCAATTAACCCTTTCAGTGCTAGGCCAATAATTCATATTTTGTAAGACTTTTTTGTTTGCATTTTAATTCCATTACCTGTTGTTGAATTTTAACTGTCATGTTGTCACTATTTTATTAATTAGGCTAATTTTGAATAATAACACAATAAGAAAATATATAAGAAAGATAAATCCCGGTATTTGTAGTAAACATTAAATAAAACTTAGTTTTTGTTGTAATTTTTCTGGTTTTCCTATAAATTTTTATGTTCTGATAGCATTATTTGAAACCAAAATCTCATAAAATCAAAAGACATATAGTTTACAATGTAATATTGAATTTAACCTTGATTTAGTTGGACGAGGTTATCGTAATATAGCCATTTTAGGGAAACTAATGTTTTGCAGCAAAGTCTCAGGAACACATTTATGATCACTGTTGTGTTTAAACTAAAAGATTTCATCTAAATAGTCCGTGACTAACTGGTGCTACTACCTAGTAACGCATTGAACAACCATCTGTAGCGCTATCTGTTCGCAATCGGTGGCGACAGCTTAAATACCGGTTTTAGACTCCTCAGTCTTCAATCACAGATTGCCGAGAAGGCTAGGGCGTGTGTCACTTGGCCAGTGGCATTCGTCTGCTCGGGTTCGAATCCCGTCCTGTGTGGCAAATAATTGGTGACCTGTGTGTTTGTAGCGATATACTACAACCACTGGGGCATAGTGAGGTGTTCATAATCCTTGATTTAGACATACACCTCGAAATCATCGGATTGGGCGAATCTTTTAGCTAAGTGGTTGTTAGTGTATCCTATGAACATGCAGGTCACCAATGGCCGTTTTGCTATTTTTTTTAAATAACCTTCCTCTCTATATCCCTTAGAGATTTTTTAAAACAACGATATATCGTTTCATAGCACTGAAAGGGTTAATAAATACAAGCACTTGTAACTTGCATAACTGTTTATTCATAACTGGGAAGTAAATATTATTGTATGAACAATGTAAAAAAATAATTAACATATGGATTAATATAAGAAGTACAAAAGCAAAATATATAACAGATAGTTTTGCACAGGTTTCTCGTCATGACGAACATTTTAAGTATATCGTTTATGGGGGTGTAACTTTTACTTTTCACAAAGGTTCATGGGTGCTTTGGTATTTAATATGGATATATAGACAGTGTATAAATAAATATACACAGAAAAATCAGCAAGAGAAAAAAAATTACCAAGTCCAACATGGAAAGCAAATTTTCAATACAACTCCTTAATTTCTTTTTGCATTGGAAAAGATTTAAAATGATCAGATCTATTTCACTAACAATAGAAAGAAAAAAAATAGATGTTTGTATCAAACTAGGGTTCTTCAATACTTGGATTTAATGAGACTAATTCTACAAAACAAAATATAATGAATAGTTGAGCTGCAAATTAGCATGAATTTTGCTTATACAACAAATTAACATGTGCCTGGGCTGGTTTTTATTTTGATATTGGTTTGAAGCTTTGTTATACCTCTAAATTAATTATATTCAGTTTATAAGATTGATAAAACTCACCCTAGGCTTATCGTTATGGGTGTCTGTCCAATACCGATGGAACTTGACGATGTTTGGATGTTCTAGTTGTGTTAGGTTCTCAAACACTTGCTGTATCTTCTCTTCTTGGGCTTTGAAGTTTTTTCGTTCAGAAAACTGAACCTCGTTCCACACAACCTCCACCCCTTCCTCAGTGTCCATAGCGAGATATGCACTGTCAATACCCGGCACATCACGTTGCTCTACCTGTCAACAACCACAGTGATCAATTAATTCCTCAAAACTGAACCTCGTTCCACACAACCTCCACCCCTTCCTCAGTGTCCATAGCGAGATATGCACTGTCAATACCCGGCACATCACGTTGCTCTACCTGTAAACAACCACAGTGATCAATTAATTCCTCAAAACTGAACCTCGTTCCACACAACCTCCACCCCTTCCTCAGTGTCCATAGCGAGATATGCACTGTCAATACCCGGCACATCACGTTGCTCTACCTGTCAACAACCACAGTGATCAATTAATTCCTCAAAACTGAACCTCGTTCCACACAACCTCCACCCCTTCCTCAGTGTCCATAGCGAGATATGCACTGTCAATACCCGGCACATCACGTTGCTCTACCTGTCAACAACCACAGTGATCAATTAATTCCTCAAAACTGAACCTCGTTCCACACAACCTCCACCCCTTCCTCAGTGTCCATAGCGAGATATGCACTGTCAATACCCAGCACATCACGTTGCTCTACCTGTCAACAACCACAGTGATCAATTAATTCCTCAAAACTGAACCTCGTTCCACACAACCTCCACCCCTCCCTCAGTGTCCATAGCGAGATATGTACTGTCAATACCCGGCACATCACGTTGCTCTACCTGTCAACAACCACAGTGATCAATTAATTCCTCAAAACTGAACCTCGTTCCACACAACCTCCACCCCTTCCTCAGTGTCCATAGCGAGATATGCACTGTCAATACCCAGCACATCACGTTGCTCTACCTGTCAACAACCACAGTGATCAATTAATTCCTCAAAACTGAACCTCGTTCCACACAACCTCCACCCCTCCCTCAGTGTCCATAGCGAGATATGCACTGTCAATACCCGGCACATCACGTTGCTCTACCTGTCAACAACCACAGTGATCAATTAATTCCTCAAAACTGAACCTCGTTCCACACAACCTCCACCCCTCCCTCAGTGTCCATAGCGAGATATGCACTGTCAATACCCGGCACATCACGTTGCTCTACCTGTCAACAACCACAGTGATCAATTAATTCCTCTAACTATTATTTTTGTCAGCAAATTTCCTATATTTGAAATATAATTTTAAGAGTATTTAAAGAGGGATGAAGTATCTTTAATTTAAAGAGAAACAGTAGTAAAGAGTTTGTAGGTGGTTTGGATTTCTTCCTTGTATATTTGGGGCTGTAACCCCTTTTCTGAGGTTTCCTAACCGTGTATCTTTCAAAAAAGAGCAATAATCTGGATTTTTTACTTCTCGCTTATAGCTGGAAAACCTTTTAGCAAATTTCCCATATAGGGTATAAACCGTAGTACTCATAGTACGACCTGGATGCGGGACTAGAAGCCAAAAAAACCATCCATTCGTTAGATAATTTTTTTTTGTAACTAACTCTTTATGTTATATTTTAATCTTCTGACCTTATTTTTTAATATATTACTAACTACGATGAAATGAAATATATAATATCATGTACTTTGTTGTGAATACTGACGTGACATATGTTTACTGGTGATGTATCACAATTATGTAAATTCTATGTGACAAATAAACAATTCATTTCATTTCATTATATCTATATCTATATACTTATTTAATACGCAAGCAGGTTTTTTGTGACAATTACTCCTCCGAAACTACTGAACCGATTGACATGTTTTTGGTGTCATTGGAAAGAGCGTAATGTGATGTTGTGCAGGAAACTTTCTTTTTAGGGAAATAATTAGAGAGTGAGGCCCTGGGGCCCTTTAAAGTTTCGTATTTTTCCATAAGATTAATATGGGAAACAAACATTGTTATGAAACTCCAGCTGTTGTCAGAAATTAAAAGTGAGAACAAGAGCATATGTTAATTGTAAAATTGTGACAGAGAGGTTATGCAGAAAATCAGGTAGTTAATGGTTATATGGTGCTATTAAAATAAAACTGAAATTTTTAAACGTACTGGCGACAATGGGTGATACCATGCAGACTACATTATCATTGACAAAGACCAACATGGAAAATCTATTGCGGCTATTAGTCCAGTCAAGGAATGAGGTGTAGAGTGCGTGAGCAGGTAACTAAGCGATTCCTTCTGAAACTTGTTCAGGGGGCTTAGGGTGTTAACATACCAAAAGTCCTGACTCCTAGGTGGTGAGCCAGGGGGTGGAGGGGGGAAAAAGGGTGGGAAAAAGGTACACATTTTGGGTTTTTTGATTATATCTCGAAAACTATCAACTTTTTGTATACTATAGTAAATTATAAAATTGAAGAAGATTAAATTTTCTACAAGAAAAGTATATAATGTGTTTATTTTGGTTCAACAGATTACGAGTTATAACTTATTTAATTGATATCTTATTAAAATACTCCTTCCATAAGAAATACATGTAAATTAGTATGCGAAATGGGGCGAATCCTATCCGCCCAAAGGAAATATAAATGATATTCTGGAAATCTTGACAAAATTTCCAGTAATTTGACACTTTAATCATTAAAATTGATCCAAAATTAAGGCGAGGGCGAGGTAACAAAATGTCGAGTTTTGGTGTTTTTTTTATTGGAAATAAAAAAAAAACCTTAAATCATCCCATTTTTAAACGCTCACCCTCGCTTTAATTTTTGACAAAATTTCATGATTTAAGTGTCAAATTACTGGAAATTTTGTCAAGATTTCCAGAATATCAGTTATATTTCCTTTGGGCGGATAGGATTCGCCCCATTTCGCATACTAATTTACATGTATTTCTTATAAACACAAAATAAACACATTATATACTTTTCTTGTAGAAAATTTAATCTTCTTCAATTTTATAATTTACTATAGTATACAAAAAGTTGATAGTTTTCGAGATATAATCAAAAAAACCAAAATGCGTACCTTTCCCCCCCCCTTTTCCCCCCTCCACCCCCTGGCTCACCACCTAGGAGTCAGGACTTTTGGTATGTTAACACCCTAAGCCCCCTGAACAAGTTTCTGAAGGAATCGCTTAGTTACCTGCTCACGCACTCTACACCTACTTTTGGATCATTCATTGACTGGACTAAATAATTGGGAAACATATTTTGTACAATACACTAAAAGCCAGATCAGCTTTTGAAAAATGATAAAATATTTACAAGAAATGTTGATTATGAACTGTTAAGTACATTGTGAGTACGGGATTATCATTAGTTACCTAATCTTTGATTTGACTCTTTTATTTAAACTCATCGGAATTTATGACTTATATTTGTTTATAGATAAGTTATTTGTTTTTAAATAACTCCTTTACTTCTTTGCGATTGCTCGATTTCGAGCAACATGTACACTTGTACTTATTTAATACGCAAGCAGGTTTTTTGTGACAATTACTCCTCCAAAACTACTGAACAGATTGACATGTTCTTAGTGTCATTGGAAAGAGCGTAACGTGAAGTTGTGCAGGAAACTTTCTTTTTAGGGAAATAATTAGAGGGTGAGGCCCTGGGTCCCTTTAAAGTTTCGTATTCCTCCATAAGATTAACACGGGAAACAAATATTGTTATGAAACTCCATCTGTTGTCAGAAATTAAAAGTGAGAAGAAAAACATATGTTAATTGTAAACAGTCAATAATTTTGATAATTTAACAGTTAGGCCTAGTTTGCTACAAACATTTACTTACTTGGTTGAAATGAAATAGTTACTATTTGAATTTGGGTTGGCGTAAATATTACAATGGGAAAAAGCGAGAGCCTGGATAATTTAATATACAAAAAAAAAAACCCTGAATTAAAACTCTGCTACATTTTTTAGTAATCATTGAAAGAGCCGATTTACAAACTATGGAAACATAGGAACTCATAAAACACCACCAAAGAGAAGAAATAGAAATAATGTGTTTTTTAAATGTATAATTGTTATTATGGACACCTAATGCGGCTATGAGTAAGGCTATTTGTAGAAAACATTAAAAACAAGAGCTTTTGAAAAATGATAAGATATTTACAAGAAATGTTTATTATATCGATCTCTTATGTACATCTTGAGTATCTCCATCTTGAGTATTTCCATAATCTTTGAGTAGAATCTTTTAAAGTAATCAGAAATTATGACTGTTAATCGTTTTAAAATAACGCCTGTAATACTTAGCAATTGCTCGATTTCAAGCAACAGGGACACTAGTATATATATAATACATATGTGTCCATTACCACAATAACTCGAACAAAAAGGATCCGATTTTGATGAAATTTTGTATAAACATGTAAAACCTACATTTATTTGAACAAGTTTGCGAACCAGTATGATCAGACTATGGGAACAGGGATTTATGGGGTAAGAATTAGTTTCTCCCATTTTTAACCTCCCAAAAAAATGAATAAAATTTAGCAATTTCTTTCCAAACCATTTTTAGAGCTAAAAAAAGCCAAATAATTTAGTATATTGAAGCGTTATTATGCGCCTAATAGTTACGGAGAAATTTTCAAAAAGTGGTAAATTTAAAATTCCCATGTTATTCTTCTGGAGAATAAGTTAACTGTTGTAGTTTGCTTGTTTATGAACATATTTTGATCAAATTTGGAAAATCCATTTATTTCTTACTAAACTTTTAAAATTTAACAAAAAAACACTTTTACCCTCCCTCTTGCAGCAAACCTAAGTACTTGTTAAACTAATTTTATTTAAATCTATATCTTTAAAAGAGGAACTAGGTATGTATGTATGTATATATGTATGTACCTTATGGACTCCAAAACCGCTCGATAGATTGAAATGAAACTTTCAAGCATTTTTAAGCATTATTTTTAAGAATGGTTTGTGTGAAGTTTGGAGCAGATTCATCAAAAGGGCTCAGCCCCAAGAGGGTTTTAAGGGGTCCAAAGTCAGACATTTGGAACAACAATGTTTACAAATAAATATAATTTAAATGCAGATGTTTACTTTCACCAACTGT